TTTTTCTTCATAGAACCCAGCTTCACGGATTATTGGCTCAGCATACAGGTTGAATAAGTATGATGAAAGAATACAACCCTGTCACACACCTTTCTTAATTTTAAAACATTCAGTGTTTCCATGTTCTGTTTGAACAACTGCCTCTTGGTCCAGGTACAGATTTCTCATGAGCACAATTAAGTGCTCTGGAATACTCATATTCACAATGTTGTCCATAGCTTGTCATGATCCACACAATCGAAAGCCTTTATGTATTCAATAAAGCACAGGTAAACATCTTTCTGATGTTCTCTGCTTCCAGCCAAGATCCATCAGACATCAGCAATAATATCCCTCTTTAAATGGCCTCTTCTGAATCCGGCTTGAACCTCTGGAAGTTCTCAGTCAATGTATGCTTGCATCTATTTCTGTATTACCTTTAGTAAAACTTTACTCGCATGGGGAAGGCAATATACAGCAAGAGGGAGGTTGGCACCGGAAAGATGAAGGTAGTGGAAGACACAGGGAGGAGTGCAAGAGTTAAAATGAACAGAGGTAAATACTGTTAACTGATGGTACATGGTGGGGATTGCAATCATCGTAATGACATGAAATGAATGATTTGTTGAATGTGAGACTGATGATCTGTTCTAAAAACCTTCACTCAATTCACAGTCAATGGTGATGTTGTGTTGAGGATGAAACAAATTAAAGCTCACCAAGACACTTAAGAAATGGTTGAAATGTACAGATCCGTGCATGTGCAAATGCAGACAAGAAGGGGTCTTACTCTATACAGACCCAAACTAACCTTCTGGTAACAACAAACTCTTGAAAATATAGGATAGTTGGTTTCAAAGAAAATTCCATAGTGTGCATGTTTACAGTATTAGCAGCATTTAAGGTGTTAGTAACTAGTGCATGTACCTCACCTTCAGAAGGCAAGTAGCTACCTGTCTATATCTTGTGGCAGGTCATTCAGGTTATTGCTGCTGATATCCAACCACTGCAAATTAGACATCCGCAGGACACAGATCGGGACACTGGAAAATGCGTTCGCTGAGATGTCTATGAATATAACTTGCTTCAAATTACTTAACTAGAAAGGAATACCAAAATATTCTAATTACTTCTGTGATAGTGAGAATTAAGCACTACTAATAATTGTGAGATTGATGTTTTTTCACCCAAAGAAGGCATTACTATGAATATATGCAAAATGGATCAAAAGTGTACGTGTTTTTCAGAAGCCTGGTATGTACCATGCACGATGTTATATATATGCTGGGATTGCTAAGGCCAATAGCATGTTGTGGCTGCCCTCAAGGGGTTGATATTTTCAGAAATAAACAGTGCAATTTTATGCTGTAAATATACACTTTAGATAACACAGATGAAGAAGTAATTAATCTACCAAACATTGCAGTGGGATGAGAGTCAGGGGTGGGGGAGGATTTCACACAGACTGGAATGTTTGAAGTGGGTTCTGAGGCTCCTCCACAGGTGGAAAGGAAAGGAAGGAAACTCCAGGAGGGGGAACAGCATGTGCAAAATCATAGAAGACAGAAAACACGAGCTTTGAAGATTGGAATGATAGGGGATGGAGGTTATATCTACAAATAAGGAGTTCTGGTGGCACTGTGGTTAAGCACTCCACCACTACCCAAATTGATGTTTCAAACCTACCAACTGTTCCATTGGAGAAAGATAAGGCAATCTGCTTCCAAAAAAAGTTGCAGCCTCAGAAACCCAATGAGGCAGTTCTACTTTGTTGTATAGGGCCAAGAGGCGCTGGGCTCAACTTCACAGCAATGGGTTCTTGCAAATCTTAAGACTTGCATTTGGATTGTAAGTGGTGTGGCAAATGACTAGACAGCTCTACAAAATCTGTCTTGGGTCCATATTTTTTGTTCTTAACATGGTAACTGAAATACATGCAGAAATAGACTTGGATATCAAATGTAAATCTACAAATATCTAATGAAGTAGGAAAAGTACCTCATGCTTGGATTCGTGCCTATACGCTAATAGTTGCTATTGATTTAACTGCTAGCTTTTAAGGGCTTTATTTTAATATTCCATGAATAAAGTCTGAGATGCTTCTCAAAGTACATTTTCAAAATTGTTATGAAATACGAAGCCAGTTGGATAGGTACTACTAAAATGAAAAAAAGAGAGAAAGAGAGAGAAGCAGTGCGCTCATGCCTTTATTTACCCAATTCCATATCTATAAAACCCAATTCCAAACTGGCTTTAATAAGACGCCGGCAAAATCCATCCTAGTGAATGGGTACATTGCAATTTGGCTCTTGTTTAGAATTTAGACAAATGAGTATGGAAACAGTGATGTGGTGGTAAAGAAGCCGTCAAGACAGATGTTCTGAACGGGTGTGCATAATTCAGTCTTGTTTCTAACTGTGACTCCAGGGTTATCAGATCATCAAGAAAATCAAGACTAAAATACAACCAGTCTGCCTTTCTTCTTTCCTAGCAGAACTGTGAGATTTAATTCCCCTTCTGCACAACAAGCTTGTTGAGTTTTATGTGGCAATAAAAATCATTCACTTTGATCTGCTCTGTTTCATCAGAAAGTGATTTATAATCATTTCTCCAATTAATACTGACCAGAAGAAATCAGTGAATATTTTTTCATTAATGGATATTCTTAAATCCTATCTATAGGATGACTCAGTCACCTACAAGTTGTTGTGAGTAGTTTTTTAATTTTTTTATTCCCTTTATTTCTTTATAACTTTGCCATTGCAGATATATAAATCAAGATCTGCCTATAGACAATAGACATTATATAATAAATAGTCATTAAATTCAAAATAAATTGCAAGAAATTAGGATGCTAACCCAGTTTTCTGTGATAGTGCTTCTGAATTTAAGTCAGTCTCTAGCCTAGTAAAAGAACATTTTTAAGAGATCATGTAATAAATATCTGGTGGCTCCAATAGCTGTTGTTGTTGTTGTTGTTAAATGGCCTCAAGTCGGTTCTGACTCATAGCAACGCTGTACAGAGTTTCTGATGCTGTAAATCTTTGCGGAAGCAGAAAGTCTCATCTTTGTCCTTAGGAGCGGCTGGGTGGGCTTGAATTGCTGACCTTGTAGTTCACAATCCAATGCTGATCCTACAGAGCCACTAGGCTCCCCAGTAGCTGACATAGGATGATCAAAACAATGTAACATATTAAAGAGAGGCTTCATCTTTTAAACCTTCTTCCCCTTATTATAACCATTCCATATTATTCCCCCCAATAAAAATAAATAATAGTACATAAAATGTTTATTTCTTACTTCAAAGGGAAGCTCAGTTAATTCTAGATTTCCAGAAAAATCCAGTCTCTCCAGATTTTCACAATCTCCCAGTTCTGGAGGAATCTGTTTCAGAAGGTTGAAACTCACATTGAGTTCTTTCAGGTTCTTCAAACAACCTGTCATCAGAGAAGGTGAACATTCACTGATTATGTCCTTTAAGGTCTTTTAAGAATAACAACAACAAAATTTTTCATAAATAATGATGGGAAGACACTAAACATTGTTTTGCATTTGTTTTGTAAGCATTCTTTATTAAATGTTGTCTTATACTTTATTCTGAAGATGTTAGTCCCCGTCCATAGCATCTTTCGCTTTCTTGAAGGAATTTAATCCTTCATGAAGCCATCAGATTGTTGAGTACATGGGATCTGTCCTCCAAGTACTAGAGTCAGACCCCAGAACCCACAAAATACAAGTTCCTCATAAATTGAATAACAGACAGTGACTTTGAAGAGTGATATAGCTTCTAGAAAACACTGTGGCCAGCCATGGCCTACTGATGTACTCTAGGTATATTTAGAAAAATGTACAAAGCTCTGTGTATGTAGCAAATGATGCAAAGAAAAATAATATTTGCAGATAGCATGTAATTCACCATTTATCTTTAGCTTCCTATTTGCATTGATTTATGCTATAAATCCCTTCCACAGGCAGGAAGTGACAAGACTTAGAATGTTGTTGTGATTAAGTTCCGTTGAGTCGGCTCCTACTCATAACAGGTAATAATTAGATTTCTTTTACATGGGAGAACATCAGTCTTACATTCATTCTATCTATCGTATATCCTCTTATTGCCATGGTTACAATCCCCTCCATGCAATCCTTCCTCTGTACCCCCCAGGTCTTCAGCACACAGTTGCTCTCCCTCTCTGGATCTAAAGTCTCCAGCTGCTCCATCGGTCCACGTCATCATCTCTGGCTCCGTTTTAGGCATCACTACTTCTCTGGGTAGGGTCCTGCTTAGATTCCTTTTTAAATGATATGATTTTGTCCTGGTGCGGCGCAGTGGGTAAATGCACTAGACTGCAAGGTCAGTGGTTCAAGCTCACCAGCTGCTCCTCAGAAACCCTATACAGGGTCGCTATGGATCGGAACTGACTCGACGGCACTTACCAAAAACAACCAACATTTTAACCAAAGACTCCATAGAAAAATCCTGGTCAAAAGGGATAAAATAAGAACAGAATTTCAAATTCTCATGGATTCCAAACTTTCTGGAGCCATGGAATGTGGATGAACCACTGGAAAGATTCCCACGATAAGCCTTAAACCTTAAACCAAAAATATCCCCTGATGTTATTTTACAATCCAACAACAGTTGAGCTTAAAACCAGTAAAAACTGCCTGCCGTGAGCATGAGTTACTCTCTTTTAAGATCTGTTATGGGCTCAGAATGACGACAAAACTCAAAAAATTCAGTAGGAATCTTGGGGGACTGTGAGCTGATGTTAATGGAGGAGGAACAACTCAGGAAAGGAGGGTGAGAACCCTGTACAACTCAGAGAATGTAACTAGCGTCACTGAAATGTACATGTAGAAATGGTTGGGTTGGTGTACGTTTTGCTATAGATATACTCAACAACACCAACAAAGTAATTTTTTTTTTTTTTTAATATGCTGTTCTTCTATGCCGTCAAATTGATGCCAACTTACAGTGACCCTATATTAAAGACTAGAATAACTCCTAGGCTGAAATCATTACAATAGCAGAACTCTAGGTCTATCTACCACAGATTAGCTGGTGGGTTCAAACCACTAACATTTGTGTTAGCAGCTAAGTGTTAACCACTGTGCCACAATGTAAATATTCTGTGTGATTCTACTTTCCAGACACAATAACTTTATCCATCAAGGACTTACATGAACTAGTTCATGGAGGCATTTGCTCTAGTATATTGTCTTGTTAGGTGCTGTTGAGTCGGTTCCAACTCATAGCGACCCTATGTTCAAAAGAACAAAACACTTCTCAATCCTATAGCCACTCCATGAATGCAGCTCACTGAAGGTCTTGCTCTTTTTCAATGACCCTCTATTTTACCAAGCATGATCTTTCTCCAGGGGACTGGTCCCTCCTAATGACAAAGTCTCATCATCCTGGTTTCTGAGGAGCATTCTCACTGTACTTCTCCCATGATAGATTTACTCTTTTTTCTGGAAGTCCATGGTATGTTTAATATTCTTTGCCAACACCATAATTCACTATGACATATTTATACAAGGGAGCTTCAAAAAGTTTGTGGAAAATGGAATGAAAGATAATGGAATTTTCCCGAGGACTATTTGAAGTCCCCTTGTACATTCACTTTACTATCATGAGAGACGGACTGCAAAGATTAGATAAAATAACTGAAGAGAAAGTTTTATACTAGCTTTTTCTTAAATACAATCAAAGAAACATAGACTTTAGAAAGTCTAGCGCAAACAGAATATTTTAATAATTGTAATGTACACTGAAGACATATAATTGAATATGCAAATTTTATATAATTTATACAATTTTAATATGTTTACATTAAAATCAGCTTACAGTTGTGACTCACTTCCATTATTACATAAATAGTGCATTTCCTTTGTCAATATCCTTGGATGAATTTGGTTTGCTTCATCTGAGAAGGGCTCAGATTGAGGGAGTAGTTGACTTCAATCAAGAGTCTAAAGGATGTGGAAGGGCACTAAATTTCATCTGTTATTGCTGTAAAGTGCCATCAAGTCGCTTCTGACTTAGAGTGACCCTGTATAAGGTTTCCGAGGAGTGAGTGGTGAACTTGAACCACTGACCTTGTGGTTCACACTGACTATGCAGTCCAGCGCATTAACCCATTTAGCTTTTATTTTTTAAGTTGTTAAGTGCCATAGAGTTAGTTCCGACACATAGTGACCCTGTATAGGGTTTCGAGCAGCTAGTGTGTTCAAACTTCTGACCTTGTGATTAGCAGTCCAGTGTTTATTCTACAAGAGTTCCTCTTATTTTTAAGTTATTATTAATAAGTGCCATAGAGTCGGTTCTGATTCGTACAGGTTTGGACTGTTCCTCTCTTATTTTTAAGTTATTATTAATAAATGCCATTGGTAAGTTTGAACTGTTCCTCTTATTTTTAAGTTATTATTAATAAGTGCCATAGAGTCAGTTCTGATTCAAAGCAACCCTGGATAGGATTTCTGAGGAGCAGTTGGTAGGTTTGAACTGTTGACCTTTTGGTATCCTATAGTATACCACACAAGTACTCTTCATTTTTAAGTTGTTTTTGTTAAGTGACGTGAAGTCAGCTCTGACTCATAGCGACCCTGAGTAGTGTTTCCGAGAAGGAGCTAGTAGATGTGAGCTGCTGACCTTGTGGTTCGCAGTCCAGTGTTTACCCTACAGCACCACACCAGGTAGCTACTTTTATCCTGAACATACTGTCCTTGTCTAAGCAGGTTGCTGCACTCATACTCTCCGCCCCGTGCCCTGTCCCATGTCCCATGTCCCAACCAAGGCCCCTTCTCTCAAGCAGGGGGTAAGCGGCACTTTGCTGATAGACCTGGGACAGGAACTGCTCTGGTTGAAATCAGCTGTCAGCTTCCCACCCAAGCAGAGTCATCCTCATCAGACACTTGCCCTGGTAAACAGAGCTTTGATAAATACAGTCATTTGTTTCTCCTCACAAAAAACTGAGGTAGCATAGGAAACCCCACCCCACCCTGGTATTCACGAGCCCTATCACCAGCCCAGCCTGGCCATCTGTAATGCTTTCCTCAGGACCAGAGCCATTTCCTTTCTCTCCATGCACTTCATTTCTGATTTGGACCACATGTTTTCCTACTGATTTATGCTGTTGTTGTTGTTAAGTACCGTCGAGTCAGTTCCGACCCATCGCGACCCTGCATAGGGTTTACAAGGAGCAGCTGGTGAGCTTGAACCACCAACCTTGTGGTTCAAACTGACCTTACAGTCCAGCACATTAACTCACAGCACCACATGATCCCATGTAGATAGTGCTTCAAAAAGGGCAATGCTCAGGGCACACATCCTTTACTAATTAAACTATGCTTCATTTTAGGAAATTCCTGATTGAAATAGACAAAGCAACAGCTGAGTCCTAACTATGACACCCCAGAAGACATGAGCACTGAACCTCACAAACCTGCCTATGTGGTCGGTCATGCGGCCATGAACATGCATGAGCGCACCGGTGCAGGAATGAGGATAAGAGGAGACATCTCATGTCTCATGAGCTCTCAAGAATGACCCTTTGACCCACTTGGGCTGTGATTGTGGACCAAGGAATGTGTTAGTAATGTGCAAATGAGTTACCATTCAAAAACAAAGTGAACTCAAGGTTATCCTTCTGATGATACTATTTATTTCTGGAGTCAGCATCCTGAGCCTGAGGGTGGTTTTAGTGTGATTAGAGTCCAACATCACAGAAGCTGAAACACCGAAGGCATCATAGGGTCAGCCTGTCATACTTTTAATAATTAGTCCATTTCTCTCTGGAATGCCCCAGGATCTTTTCCAAGTGAAACAAAAGCTGCCTACTTACTCCCTATTCTTTCAGAGGAGGGACTATCATCCAATTGTTGTTGTTATGTGCCGTGGAGTCGGTTCTGACCCATAGCGACCCTGTACAGGATTTCTGAGGCTGTAAATCTTTACGGGAGCAGAAAGCCTCATCTTTCTCCCGTGGAACAGCTAGCTGATAGTTTCGAACTGCTGACCCTGAGGTTCGCAGCCTGATTCATAACCATCATCCAATTAGGCATAATTAATTGTTTATAGAATTCTGGTGTGGCGCTGGTCAGCAAGGTCGGTTTGAACCAAAAAACGAAAAGATGGCCTTTCAAACTCACCAGTCACTCCTCGGAAACCATATACAGGGTCACTATGAGTTTGAACTGACTCAACGGTACTTAACAACAACAATAGTTTTCTTGTTTGTAGAGACCAAAGACCAGCTTAAAGAATTACCATACTTTAAAATATCTGTAACAATATTTTACAATAATTTCAGTAATTAATCCATATAATAATTCCCTGGGAGTTTCGCAAAGGAGTTAAGAGGATCACCATCTCATATTGATTTGATGTCAAATGTTAAAAAAAAAATTTTCCCAGCAAATGTATAGAGCCTACAGTTTAATCACGGTTACCAGGAGCAGGAGGAATGAGGTAAGGAGAAAAACCATTGTTTACGTAGCACTGAGTTTGTATTTATAGAGACTCAATTCCGACCCATAGCAACCCTGTATAGGGTTTCGGAGAAGCAGCTGGTTAACTTAAACTGTCAACCTTGCAGTTCAAAGTGACTTTGCAGTCCAGCACATTAATAACCCACAGCCACACCAGGACTCCTACAGTGCCATGTTGTTGTTGTTGTTGTTGTTAAGTGATGCCAAGTTGGTTCTGACCCACAGTGACCTGTATAGGGTTTCTGAGGGGTAGCTGGTGAGCTTGAACCGTCGACCTTGTGGTTCAAACCAACTTTGCAGACCAGCGCATTAACCTACAGCACCACACCAGGACTCCTACAGTGCCATTGTTAAGCTAAAATGAGAGACATGAAACTAGCCAAAGGGATTTGAGCTCTTTTATGTTGAGCAGCTGTGTTTTCTAAAGGAGTCAGAGTTCATCTCTTAAATTTTGTCTTAAGCAAAAATTTGTTCCTAAACCCAGCATCCTACACTCATGAGAGTCCCCAGTTTCTAAGCAATTGGCAAATGTCCAGTTGAGTTGTGTTATGTAAGTTGGATTGTGGGATCCAAGGCGTTATCAACAAGGGAGAGCCTACAAAGCAGCAACTCTGGGAAAATGTCAAACACTGTGCCAAGGTGCATCTTCCTGGGGCAGGAGGAGGAGGAAAACATTCACACTTACAGTGTCACCAGTTTGCTTACCACAGACCAGAGGCATTAAAGACTAAGCAACCTACCAATTTCTGCTGGAAGACATGCGATTTGGTTTTTTGGCAGATCCAGAATTTTCATCGCTTTAAACTGCTTGATATAGGTAGGAATGATCTGAATCAGGGTATTGTTAATGTGCCATTCTTTCAGGTGGGTCTGCTCCTTCAAGGAATCTGGGAGTTCCTAGAATAGAATTAAATGATCTCAGTCAGAACCAGTTCCTCCAGACATTGAAGTTGAAGGGTACAGTGCAAACTGGCAAGCCACATTGAGCATTTCAACGAGAGTTAGTTCAAGGTCAAGGGCATTAGATTTAACAGCCAGCTCTACAAGTCAATTTTTAAAGAAAGCAAATATCCTGAAGTGTTGTTAATTTCAGAATGGCAGATTAGCCTAATTTCAAATTCACCAGCTGCTCCTGGGAAACCCTACACAGGGTCACTATGATTCAGAACGGACTTGATGGAACTTAGCAACAACAACATAGCTAAAAAATGAGTGCCACAGAACATTCTTTCATTTAACCTTCACGTGATCCTGTATAGGGTTTCCGAGGCTGAAAATCTTTGTTGTTGTTGTTGTTGTTAGGTGTCATTGAGTTGGTACCGACTCATAGTGACCCTATGCACAACAGAACGAAACATTGCCCGGTCCTGGACCAACCTCACATTTGATGCCACGCTTCAGCCCATTGATGCTGCCACTTTGCCAATCCATCTCAATGGGGTCTTCCTCTTTTTCTCTGATCCTCCACCTTACCAAACATGATATGACATGTTTCTCCAGCAGCTGGTCCCTCCTGACAATATGCCCAAAGTATGAGAGATGAAGTTTGGCCATCCTGACCTCCAACACAAATCTGTTTGTTCTTTTGGCAGCCGTGGTACTTTCAATATTTTCCTCCAACACCATAACTCAAAATGCATCAATTCTTCTACAGTTGTCCTTTACAGGAGCAGAAAGCCTCATCTTTATTCTGCGGAATGGCTAGTAGTTTCAAATTGCTGACCTTGAGGTTAGCAACCCGACTCATTAACCACTATGCTACCAGAGCTCCTTATTTTACTGATAAGGGCAATGAAACACATAAAAGGGAAATAATTCATGTCACAAGGCTAATAAACAGTCCCCACACATTGTGACCCTGTATAGGATATCCAAGGAGTGGTGTGGGTTTGAACCACCGACCTTGTGGTTCACAGTCCCGTGCTGTTCCTATAGCACCACACCAGGACTCCACAAATGGCAGGGCAAAAAGAGATGGAAGGTTGGTCCCCAGAGTCTCTGTCCTGTGCCAAAGAACAAGCTGAATTCTCCTGAATTCCCAGCAGCTGCTTCAACCAGAAAACAGGCACAACATGTAAAGAAAGTCATTTCCCCTCACAAACGACCCAAGAGGCACCTTCCCCCCGCAAATCAACAGAGTCGGGTGGGGGTGCGGAAGGAAACTGGGGAGGGGGGGATCTTTATCCTGGCCTCAGAATCTTAGGACCGGAAAACTGGACAATAAAGGAATCTGGCAAAATTCCTAGAGCCTGTGACAAGTCCGCAAAGGCACCGCCTTCCGGGGAAATTACGTAAAGGACAGGCACGGTTTATTAAGACAAAACAAAACAAAACAAGGCAGAGTGGTTTTAGATGACAAGGAAAAGCACCAGTAGAACCAAGCCCGTTGTAGGCTGCCCGGAGAGCTATAGGAGAGCTCCTCAGGGGGGGGCCACTGCTCCTTCCGGGGACAGCCGGAGCCCGGCTCTCGGAAGACAAAGGCTCCTCCGCACTTTCTGCAGCGGGCGACCCACCCCACTTACCTTCCACTGCTTCCCTGAGAGTTCAAACACGAAGGGGTTACTCTTCCTGTCTCTCTGCCTGGTGAGAGAATTCCTTTCGATTTTTTCCAGAAGCCTCACGCCGGTGTCTACGAAACCATTCTTGCAGTATTCGGCTTGGGGGACGCCTTTCCTCCTACACTCGGACACGAAATTCCACTCTTCCTTTATCCTGAAGGGGCAGCAGAGGCCGACGTTACCCTTCGCAGCCGCCGCCCAGGTGGAACCGCTAGGGGGCAGAGCGCGCCGCCCGCGGGCGCAGAAGCAGCTCCACACCCAGCCTGGCCACAAAAAGCCTACAGAGCAGGAGTCCGGTCAACTCATGGGGCAACTGGTTTGGGACTTTTGTTTTTTGTTTTTTCACTGTTTAGGGAATTGTGTGTTCAGTTCTGAGTCCAACCTGGCATGTGTTGCCAGCAGTGAGCAACCCCCCAGAGAGGCATCCTCCTTCACACCCCATCCGCTGATTTCTCTAGTCCCTAGTCACATTAAAAATCTAAAATAAACTAAAAACTCATTACAAAACCAAAATAGAAAGCACGTACTTTTCCAAGGCGCTTTTCTCGAGCCTTTCTGCCTCCTTTTTCTGCCAAGCTTTGTGCTTCTTAACTCGAGTTTCCCACAAGCCTCTGATGACAGAAATATCAAATACGACCACTTTATGTCCCATTTTTGGAGCATGGAATTGCCTATTTAAAAATATATACACATGTCAGCTTCATAAACACACAGAAGAAAAGCTTTAACAAAAACTTTAAAATGAAACATAAATAAATCTGTTTTCTTAAGGAATGAAGAAATGCCTTTTCTTTCCAAGACAACTGTTAATGGTCTTAAAGTTTGATAGTAATCTATGTAAATTATACCTCCAACACTTACCCTGGATCATCTCTTCCAGAATGTCACACTTGTCTCCCCACCTTCAGCTAAAGTTGGGATTCCTCTAAACTCCTGAGCATTCCTAAAACTTCACAGTTCCACGTTCTGTTGTGTTTACTAGTATATGCATCTCATCTTCCCAAGAGACTCAAAGTTACTCCAGGGTAGAATTGATAATTAATCAGAGTTCACACATACGTACATACTCTAAAGAAAATAGTATAATGTTGTTGTTAAGGAGTCATTTCCAACTCATAGCAATCCTTTATAGGGTTTCTGACGCGTGTCTGATAAGCTTGAACCACCAACCTCGCAGTTCAAACTAACCTTGCAGCCCAGCATATTAACCCACAGCACCATACCAGGACTCCAGAATAGGAGACTACAACAAGTTACTGTTAAATTGGTTCTGGCTCATAGTCTGTTGGGTTTTCAGTGGTTAGTTTTCAGAAGTCAATTGCTAGGCCTTTCTTTCTTTGAGCTCAAACCTTCAACTTTTGGGTTAACAGTCAAATATTTAATTGCTTGCACCACCCAGGAACTGCAGTTCTCAGATAAAACTCAATAAAAACAAAATTCACATAATAGCATATTATAATTAGTTTTTAACTTAACTGAAAAATGAACCATAAAACTCTCCTTTATATTTGTAGAAATTTCATCTAAATATAATTGAAAGAGATCTTTTCTTCCTTTGGCACAAGACATAAGGAATGGAATTGTTCCTTTGTGACTTGTCAGCTCAATTCTTTCCCTTAAGAGAGGGGAGTAGAGTAGGCCTTCTCCTTCCTCCCACCATCTCCCCTTAGTTGAGCTGACCTCAACTCATCCCTCTGTTTCAGGGCAGTCTGGATACTCCAGCTCCTCTCTTTCTCCGTCATCTAAGGCTACCCACCAGCCACCATTGCATGACAAGAGCAAACCAGGGTGAGTCAAAAATTACGCACACTCTGACTGTAAAATTTATTTTAGTCAACATTTAGAAAGGACAAATACATCACTTTTTGACATAATATCCTTGCTTTTCAACACACTTTGTCCATCTGTCAACAAGTTTTCGTATTCCCTTATTAAAAAATGTTTTAGGCTGAGCTGCCAGCGATAAATGCCCTGCTGTCGTCACTTCTTCGTCTTCGTCCTTGAAAGGCTGTTTTTAGGGGACCAAATAGATCAGAACTATAAGAAGGATGCTTTAACACATCAAAATGAAATTTTTGCAGAGTATCAACAGTGTGGCCTAAGGTGTGCAGATGGACATGTATTGTCATGTAAGATTAAAATGCTCTTGGATAGCAATCTTCTGCATTTAATCTGAAGTTTAGACTTCAATTCTTCAGTGAGCATCTCACTGTAATGAGCACTGTTGGTTGTTTAATCCTTTTCCTGATAGTGTTCCAATATGGGCCAGAAAACTATGAGCATTCATTTTCCAGCTGATAGCTGACTTTTGAAATTTTTCTTGGTTGGCAGTTGAGGATGTTTCCATTCCATACTCTGCCTTTCAGGCTCTTAGTGATGAGTCCATATCTCATCACCAGTAATGATTTAAAAAAAAAAAAAAAAAAAAAATTTTACCTTCCTTCAAGTATCAGTCCAAATTTTGTTTCTAAACACTTCTGTTTATGCTCATCCACGAGTTGTTTCAGGACCCATCTTGTACTAACTTTCCAAAACCGAAGTCTATTATGGATTATTTCATAGGCAGAGCCATGGCTGATTTACAAATGACTTGCCACATAATCCACCGTCACTTGTCTATTCAACGGAATCATTTCACATGTATGTTGTCATCAGCCCAGCCGTGGGCGTGGACAGGTGTTCTAATATAACCCGGAATGCAGACAATTTTTTACTTACCCTCATACTTTCCTACCTGGAACTCTGGAACTGACCACACAGTCCAGGAACAACCAATACCAGATGCCACTGGGTCAATTTGATTCATAGCAAACCCATGTGTATCAGAGTAGAGTTATGTTCATAGGGTTTTTAATGGTTAAATTTTCAGTTAAAAATCCCCAGATCTTTTTTCTGAGCTGTGTCTAGGTGCACTTGAACCTCCAAAGCTTTGATTAGCAATCGAGCAAATTAACTGCACCACCCAGTCCAGAGACATATCTCTTGGATTTTCCTGCAACATGAACCCTTAGAAGCTGCTAAGCTCTGTTGATGTTGATGTCCAAGTGAAAGGAACGTTAGTGCAACGAATCTTTGCGCAACTGCTGTGATTGTTTAGTCTCTACTCTCAGTTTCACCAGATAAAACATGGGAGACCCAGAAAAGTTTTGTCTGTATCCCTGACACCTAGCACAGTGCCTGGCACAGTTGGCCCTCTATAAATGGTTGCTGAATAACAGGTGAGTGAATAAAACATCTGCACCCAGATTGCTTGAGGCTCAGGCCACTCAATGGACCTTCTCTCTTCTTATGTTCCCACTTCATCTTTACTGTTTGGTGTAAGTGATTGCTTCTTCACTGCAAAAACACACCCCAGCTATCTGGATATAAAAGTGCATTCCAATATTTGTTCCACAATACTTATCTCCCATCAGCTAAGTAAAACTATTTCCTAAATAATATTTTAAACTTTCCCTATCTGTAGTTTAGAAACCTGGCTACCCCATTTCCTAATTTACAAACAAACACACCGAGTACCAGTTGGTAAACAGTATGGCTGTTGCATATTCTCTTCTCCATTTCCAGACACTACATTCACTTCTTAATAGCAGTCAGTGGGGGTACAAAAACCAAATATTGAATCTTCTGACTCGTGTGGCAATGGAGTTTGGGCCATTTAATAAACACCTACAATCCAGTCATTCACTTTAGCTTCTATGCCAGCCTTGAAAGGCAGATGGTCCTATTTTACTCTTCTGAGATTTTCCTCCTGAGCCTCCCCTGTGGTGCACAGAGCTTACGTAGTTTGTTCAAACTCACACAGTCTGTCTACTCATCTGTGTAAACTCTGTGCTGCCTCTGCTAGTTACAGCCTCTCTCAAAATATGTGAAGGCATTCCATATACATTATCACATTAATCAACACACAGTGTAAGGAACAACCTCCTGCCTAATCCCAGAATGCAGAGTGGAAAGTTGAAGTAGCCAAGTCTCCAACTGAGAGTGCCCAGTAGCTCAACTGCCCACATATCAGGAGATTCCTCCCTCCTAGCAACTGTGAGATAATAAATGTTATTTAGTCAGCTGCTAACTTTTGGGGTCCTTTTGTAATGAAGCAATAAACAACTGGTAATTATTTAGTGCTTGTAAAAAATAAATCTCGATATATAATGACACCTAGTGTGTCTATTCATTGGGTGCCATTGAGTCGGTTCCAGTTCATAACGACGTTATGTTGAACTGAACAAAACACAGCCTGGTCCTGAGCTCATTGCTGCTACCACTGTGCCAATCCGTCTTGTTGAGCATCTTCCTCTTTTTCACTGACCCTCCACCTTACCAAACATGCTGTCCTCCTCCAGGGCCTGATCCTTCTGATAATATGTCCAAAGTATGAGAGATGAAGTATGGTCATCCTGGCTTCCAAGGAACATTCTGGCTGTACTTCTTCCAACACAAATTTGTTTGTTCTTCTGGCAGCCCACGGTACTTTCAATATTCCTCCCTAACATCATAACTCAAATGCATCAATTCTGCATTCTTCCTGATTCGTTGTCCAGCTTTCACATACATATGAGACTACTGAAAATACCATGGCTTGGGTAAAATGCACCTTAGCCCTCAAACTGCTATCTTTGCTCCTGAATACTTTAAAGAGATCTTATGCAGCAGATCTGCCTAATGCAATGTTGTTGTTGTTAAGTGCCGTCGAGTCGGTTTCGACCCATAGCGACCCTGTACAGGGTTTCCGAGGGTGTAAATCTTTACGGGAGTAGAAAGCCTCATCTTTCTCCCGCGGAGCAGCTGGTAGTTTCAACCCGCTGACCTGAAGGTTCGCAGCCCGATTCGTAACCACTACGCTACCAGAGCTCCTTGCCTAATGCAATCCGTCATTTGATTTCTTGACTGCTGCTTCCGTGAGTGCTGATGGTGGATCCGAGTGACGTGAAGTCTATATGTAGCACCTTTTGTGATATCTCTGCTAGGACATCTTAAAGTGACATCATTGTCACCAAGCTTATTCACTTATAATCCATTGGCCCTGCTACATTAATCTCAGGACCAGCTCTATTAACATTTGCAGATCATTATTTTATGTTTTATTCCTTCACTCTGCCCACCTGCTCCTTTGCATATCCAATTTGTTACCTAGGGCATGCGTTTCTCCCCACCTAGTGTAGAGTTCTGGCGTGGTGCTGTAGGATAGGCACTAGACTGCTAACTGCAAGGTCAGTGGTTCAAACCCACCAGCCACTCCTTGGAAACCCTATACAGGGTCACTATGCGTTGAAACTGACTCAATGGTACTCAACAACAAATGTTGCATCTTGCCTCATAACTAGTCTCTTTGCTTCCCACTCCCCCACTTCCACTCCTTTTTCCACACAATGTTGTTGCTGCTGTGTGCCACTGAGTTGATTCCCACTCATAATAATCCTACAGGACAAGGTAGAACAGTCCCATAGGGTTTGCTAGACTGTAATCTTTACAGGAGTCCTGGTGTGGTGCTGTGGGCTAATGAGTCAGACGGCAAAGTCGTTTGAACTGCAAGGTCGGTGGTTCAAGCTCACCAGCTGCTCCTTGGAAACCCTATACAGGGTTGCTATGGGTCGGAATCGACTCGACGGAACTTAACAACAACAACAACAATCTTTACAGGAGCAAATCCATAGG